TGTTGTAACCACTAGGTCAGCCCATTGTGTGGATTGGCCTTCCTCTTTCCACTGCCTCTGTACTTCACCAACCATCACACCCTTCTCTAGGAACCCATCTCTCCTGACGACCTGCATGGAGTCTCACCATCCTTGACACTAAGGAACATTCTGAGCGGTGTTCTTCCAAAGCAGATCTGTTGTTTTGAGGGCAGTGCATGGACTTTCTCTCTTCTGCTATAGCACTGAAATGCAAACACACCTGTTCTTCTCCGGTCTTCCTTAGCCGATGTCCAACTTTTACAGGCATGTGGGGCAACTGATGTACCATGGCTGGGTTCAGGCACACCTTCGTCCTCAAATAACATTCTTGCTTTTCAGCACTCTAACAAGGTCATCTGCACCAATGCAACATATTGACCCAACATTATGCATCTTTTGATGTCTTTCCTGTTGTTTCTCAGAGCATCGCTTGTGGATCCAAGCAAGGAAAAATCCTGAGAACTTCAATATTTTATCCATTTATGTTACTTATTGGTCCAGTTGTGCGGATTTAGGTCTTCTTTACATTGAGTGGTAATCCATACTGAAGGCTGCCATCCTTCATCTTCATCAGCAAGTGCCTCGAGTCCGCCTCTCTTTGGCAAGCAAAGGTGTGTCTTCTGCATATCAAAAGTTCATAAGCCTTCCTCTGTTCCTAATGCTGCCTTCTTCCTCATATAATCCAGTTTCTCTGATTATTTGCTCATCTCTACTAGTGTAACAGAAATATGACAAACAGAAACGTTAGTTTCTTACAGGTTAGAAAGCGAGAAGCCGAATTCAAAGGGCTGGCTTTAGGGGCCGAGTTTCTCTCTCAGTCAACTCAGGGAGGAATATGGTGCTACCTGCTGGGGCTTCTGCTTCCTGGTTCCCTGGAAACTTTCAGATGTCTGGGCGCTTATCCCACCTCTTTCATTGGATTGCTTGTTTCATCTCTTTTATATTTCAAAAGAGATGGACTCACAACTACACTAACCTAGTCCCATTAGCATAACAAAGCTCATTCCCAAATGGGATTATAACCACTGATTTTACCAGGCATATTTTGGTGAGATGTGATTCAATCCATAACAGTAAATTATGAAGTCTAAATAAACACTAACTCTTACTATTTTTTCATCCTGTCTTTTTAATGTTCTCATCCTTGCGTGGCAGATGAGAAAAATGATCCTCCTAGACAGGGTCATTGTTTCTAAGCCCTGCCATCTTTTCTTCTCTTTGGCTATTGCTTGTTTTTCCTGAATAAAGCATGATACTTTGAAGTAGCAATTTGAGTTCACATAGATAGTTTGGGGGAAGGGAGGGATAAAGCAAGACCTAGGAGAAGCATCCACCTAAGACAACTGTAAACCGATGGAAGCATCGATACTACCATCCTCAAAGAAACTTGCAAATTAGCCCTCATGTGTGTTATTTCTTGTTCAATCTCCTAAGGATCCGTCACCATTGTGTTTAAGTAGTTATGATTAAAATACCAAATATACTTCAGGGAAGGTGAGGGGGATCCTGCAGTGGCTGGCTATGAGTTACATTCCGACCGTGAGGCTTGTGGGAGATGACAGAACCCAGTGGGACCACCTTGCTTTCCTGAGTCGTTGACAGGCTGCAGGCTCACTCTCCTGCTCTCAGGAGTGTCTGCAGTGCTCATGTTCTGGTTTTCACACGGGTTTTGTACTTTGACAGATGATTGTTTTGTTTTCTCTGCAAGAAGATTGGAGTCCATGACCCTAAACAGAGTTAGGAGTTCTGATTCCATGGCACGTCCTAGTTCCAGGATATACTGGTTTAGTTGACATAATTATGGGGACAGGGTGACAAGTGAACGGAGGCTAGAGCAAGGATGAGATGGATATATGGAAAATGACAGCTATAATTTCGCAAGGACTGACGTCAACTGTGCATATTGTCCTAACCAAGCATCAGGTTCAGGTTCAGGGGGAGACTATGTAAATACTTGGCTTATTATGCTGATCGGTTAGCATAATTATATTGGTAATTAATGGCTCTTAAGAAATTGTCTCATGTTTTCCTACATAGCCAAAAGATTAATAGTGTTGTGTTACACCTGTTAGACACACACACACAACCACACACCATGCTCAAAGGAGCTTATAAATTATCCCTCATATGCGTTGTTCCTTGACATATATACATATACATAATAATATATATTAAATATATCCTGATTCTTGGAAAAATTCAGGTGGGCTCACACTGCCCTCATGTAATCTTTATTCACCCATTGGTGAATTCTTGATTTCTCTCTAATTAATTGCTCTTCTCTCCCACTATTGCAGCAACGGAAGTCAAGGAACTCCACTGTGGAGCACTTGAGCTCTCATAAAGTGAAAGGTTAAATAGTTCTAAATCTCTTTAAAATTCTGGGGCCAAGTACCTTAAATGGTGCACTTAAAAATTCCAGCACACCAAAAGAGCTCTTAAGATTTTTAAATTAATCGTCATTTTCTATATACCAACCCCCAATCATTTCCAAAGCAAAGTTCTTTGGAAATATGTAAAACGCTTCAAGAATGCTAAACGCTATATTCTTTGAAGAATGATTAGAAATTGTAAATGCTTCTGACTTTCCCCCCTTCTTCCTTTAATTTAAATGTCTCCATTTGCAAGCCTGTCAAGGTGCAGGCAGGAAAAGGAAACACTTTTTTTGTGTTTGGGAGATCAAGATAGGATGTCAAAACAAACTTACAATTTCCCAAGATGCTTTTATGAAGCGCAGCTGTCAGTTTTGCTGCCAGCTCCAGAGCAGGCTGTTTCCCATCTTTTACCTCATTGTTCACACCGGTGTTCCACACTTTTTTTTTCTTCCTTTTTTGACCTTTCCGAAACCAGGTCTGGATTGGTGACATTGAAGTTCCTATTCTGGTCTTCTAATTGCATAGGTTCTTTCAAGTGGATTAATACAAGTTTTACTGTGTTGAGAACATATTTTCCTACATTTTGGAAAATCATGTTACTGACATCTGAATGTAAAAGCAGATTCTTGGTCTGGGTTTTCCCCTTCCTTTATCCCCGACTTTGAACGTAGTGATGGTCACCTAAGGGCTGCCCATCATGCTCAGCAGAGTGAGATGCTGCTACTTGATCCTCTCCATGGGCACCATTCGAACGATATTTCGACCTCATTTTCAGCTGTTTTCTGGTAGGTAATATAGTTAAGAAATAAGAATACACTCAATGATGGATTCTTATTGTAGCCAAACACCATAGTGTTTTTCCCCCCCAAAAAAAACATTTTATTGGGAACTAATAGGGATATTATACTGTTCTCCAGTCCAGTCACATCAAGCAATATTGTACAATTGCTACCGCAATTGGTTTCAAAACATTCTCTCCTTTCTTGAACTCTTTGATATCAGCTCCCTTTTACTCAGCTCCCCCCACTGGGCCCCCAAGGAACCCTTACTCTACTTGCTGTCTCTGTAAGTTCATACAGTGAAAGCACGTAACAGAAATTCAAGAGGGGTTTAACTGCTCTCTGCTCGATTTTCATAGCAGGGTTCTCAAGTTTCGCCTCTGTCAGATTTACATAGAGTGTTGTTGAGAAGCACCAGGTCCGAACCGAAGCCCCGGGGCTTCGTCCCAAGAGGTCTGCAGCTAGTGGCGATGGTGCTGGGAAAGTTGTGCTTCAGATCAGTTCCCTAGTGATTTTGATGCAACTGGTCTGGTGATCACACTTTTGAGAACAACTTTTTTTAGAGTAATATGATGTTCATTTGTCTTATTTTAATTCTTTAAGTGG